TATAAGCAATAACATTGGTGAGTCGCAAAAAGTATTAAACTGAATGAAAAAAGCCAGGCACTGGAGTGTATCTTTTATGACCTCACTTCTATGAAATTCTTTGAAATGTAAAATTAATCTGTAGTGAACGAGAGCAGGGTAGTAGATAAGGATGGGCAGGTCTTGGAGAATTAACTATAAAGACATATGAGAAAGACATCTGGGGGTTTATAAAAGTTTTTAATTTCATTTTGATGGTGATGGCATTTACATGAGTATGTGTATTTCAGGGCTTATCAAACGAGGCTGAAGAGATGAGTTCATTCTAGGGTATATAAATTTTATCTCGATGAAGTTGATGAAAAGGAAATTCCTATGTCTTGTCAACTGTGCCAAAACAGAAAAGCTGGAGATGCCCCAGTTTGTCCAAGGTGGCCAACACCAAGTGCTGCTTCCAAATCAAATATGAAAGATACCTACGTACTTCAGGATACGTCAGGGTAGCCCATCCGCAAGGGCTGAGGCCATCCGATCAGCGAGATGCAGTTGGCTGATTATGGAAAGGCGATAGATGTCGGTAGACCCTTACTCCCGGGTGGGGTGGGCTGCCCCAGTCTGTGTGCAGTTCTCACACACCTGGGAAGGGGAACAATAGGCACTGGAAAAGGCAAACCTTACCACCAAGGCATGAGCTGCTACAGTGACTCAACTCTGAGGTCCCGAAGGCAGCAACAATGGCCATTAGCAAATGAATAAGACCAAACACACCCTGTACACACTCAGTGTGGACGGGAGACAGATGAACATTGTGTTGAGAACAAAGACGCTGGTGAAGTGATGCAGCCAAGCTCCATAATTCATGGTGGCTCTTTGGGCATCATACCTTTGAGGATTTATTGAGCATGCCCTTGAGAATAAACCTCACTCCTCAAACTGAGGAGATGGCTCAGTAGAATAAGCGCTTCCCTGGCAAGCACAAGGGCCTGAGTTCAATCCCTGGTTCCACCAAAAAATAAAATAAAATAAAACCTCACTCCTCAGAAAATACTTACAAGTGATTTACAAGGACTCTGTTTCAGTTGGGTCTTTTCTCTGCAGTCAGATTTTCTCTGTGCTTCTCTTATGCCCCACTCACTCAACCCCATGTCCCACCTCCACACTCTTCTTATGTGGCCCCGGCTGAGGCAAGTCTGCCCTACCTGCTGATAACCCAGGTCCTTGAGGAGAAACTATCTTTCCCATTTTACATTTACCCACTTTTTGTTTATTTGTTTTTTGTTTTTATATAAAATTGTATTAATAATGTGAGAAAGTGCGAGGGAGAGCACAAATTTTAAGTATCAACCTATCAGCCCCACAAGATCAAGCAGTACAGCAGCAACGCACTAACCCAGAGGCCCCACTTGCCCTCCTCCTGTTAATGAATATCCAGATATCATATATGCATATATCTTGTGGTTTTAGGAAATAAACCCAGACAGTTGCACATGTTAGCAGGTGTTCTGCCACTGAGCTACATCTCTGGCCCTCCTGATGCTACTTTCCACCAAAAAATACATTACTCACTTTTTTTGCATGCAGTAGGTACTTCATAAGTTTGCATCAGAACTTTCATTTGTAAGTTAATTTTGATTTCACAGTGATGAACCATAACCGCAGGAGGCACGTGTATGCTACAAGCACAGCCAGGAGCACATGGGGTAATATTCCCTCCCCCCCCACACACACACACTTGCCAGTGCTTTTGTTACAGTTAATGGGGAAGAGAACAGTAACAATCAGTGTGGATCTGGGTGAGATTTCAATTGTTTTCTGAACAAGATTGAATTTATAATGAGACCACACACTGCCTCAGATGCATGCACCGGTTCCATCTGCTCCCACTGGGAATCCAAGCCACGTCGATCAGTCGGAGAGACAGGCCACGCCGAGTTTTTACCGGCATCACTGACCCATCAGATTCCCTTAGGAAAAGATGGCCACTGGCTCCTGTATGCAGTGTGGAGATAAGTGGAGCAAGCAGCTCTGTGCCACGGGGTCAGACTCCTCCACTTCTTACCTGTGTGACCTCAGGAAAGCTGCAGTGTTCGTGTACACTTCAGGAACCTTCCCTGTTCCAACAAGATACGGACAATAGCGATCCCTGATGCCTCTGAGGGAAGTTTTCGCGAAGTCTCAAGAAAACTCTGCATCAACAAGACTAAGCTCCAGCCACTCTGCCACACAGCCCCTGTCTCACTCGTGAAGAACAACTCAGATAAATCTTAAACTGACACATAGGCAAAAGCTAAAATGATAGCATTTATCAAAGAAAACAGCGAACTATCTCTACAGCTTTGCATAGGCAGCAATCTCTTAGTATACAAAAAGTAGCAAAAAAGAGCACAAAAAAAAATTTGTGCTCTCCCTCACACTTTCTCACATTATTAATACAATTTTATATAAAAACAAAATCGAAGTCATTTACCTGGCTCTCCTTGTTGCCCCTTCTCCCCCCATCCCAGCCCAGAGAAAGCATTATTCTGTTCCTACCTTCTAAAAGATCAAATTTTTAGGATCCCACAAGTCAAGGAGATCTTGTGGTATACCTGTGCCCCATTACTGTGTGTCTGTTGAAAGTAAAATGAAATTTTAAAGAACTGGAACCTGGGGCTGGCCAGATAGCTCAGCGGACTATGTGCCTGCTTAGGCAAGCACAGGGACCCAGGTTCGATCGCCAGCACCATATGCCATACCAGCCCTGTCCCTCGGCATGCTGAGCTGGGCACTGTGTCCGGGCACGGTGGCGCATGCCTGCGATCCCATGACATTGAAAAGTTTCTTGGTTATATCCGGCTGCTGTCACTACATGCGTTTCATGGGCTGGGTGGCGACAACAGTAACCATTTCTTTCTCACAGCTCTGGAGGTCAAGAAGTCCAAGGTCAAGGTTCCGAGCTATTTTACGTCTAGTGAGATCTGCTCCTCATTTGTAGGGGGCTACTTCTTGATGTGCCCATCGATGAAGGAAGAAGGATAACATTTCTTTTGCATGTTTGTTCATAAAATCACTAATTCTCCTTAGTGATAAGTTGAATTAGTGATCAGTAGATAAGCCTCATGGCTTATCTCTACCTCCAAGTATTATCCCATCGAGGGTCACAGCTTTAGCATATACATTTTGGGGAGACAGGCAACCCTGGTTTTTGATTGCCCATTGCTGTTTTTGATGTAGTTGCTCAGATTACAGATATTAGCACATAGAGTGTGTCAAAATGAAAATTTTAAACATTAACTGCTCTTTTCAAAATCTGAGCAATAAAAATATGTAATGTAACAACCATTGTTAATTTTTTATTCTTGTTTTGAATATCTGTAATATATGTATTGCTGTATGTTACTCTGTTTCTGTCTTTGATTTTGCTTTGTTTTTGTTTTTACTCTTTAAAATTAAATTAAATTTGGGGCCGAGGAGATGGCTCAGTAGAATAAGTGCTTGCCTGGCAAGTGCAAGGGCCTGAGTTCAATCTCCGGTTCCACCAAAAAAAAAAAAAAAAAATTAAAATAAATTAATTCATTAAATTAAAATAAAATAAATTTTAAGATAAAAGTAAATAAATTTGGAGACACAAATACCTAATTTGTGATACTATCTAATAGCTAAACAATTTCACTCACTACTTCCTACCAAAAGAAATTGGCAAGATGACTTGTGTTCTTCTTATGCATAAGAGCAAAGTCTATGAACCATCTTGAAAATGATCAGTGACAGGAGAACAGATATACCTATCACGCTACACTATTACACTAGATCACAACCTAACAATAAAGCAACTACTGATATCGAAGATACTCAACGCCCAAGTCATTATGCTAAGTGAGGGACCCCAGACATAAGGGTCCATAGTCTAAGTTCCCATATATTTGAAGCTTTTCCTCAGCCAAAGATAACTAAATGATGAGGGAAAGCAAAATAATGGCTGCTGCTATAAACACTAGTGCGCATGCGTCACTGCTGTATGACCCGCCAAGCTCCTCAGAGAAGATACCCAGACGGGGAATATCTGGGTCAGTCCTAATGTCTAATTTTAGTTCTTTGAGAAATTTCCATACTGATTGTACCAGTTTACATGCCCCAACACGGTAGGAGAGTTCACAGTTGTTATTTTTCGATTTCTTAATGATGGTCATTTTTTCTGAAGCAAGATGAAATCTTAGCACTGTTTTCATTTGCGTTCCACTAATGGTCAGAGATGCTGAACTTTTTTTTCTCCTATTTGTTGTCCATTTGTACTTCTTGCCCTGGGAAGTGTCAGTTCCTTTCCACTTGCCCATTTCTTTCATTTTAGGCAGTGATTTATTTTTTTTTGTTTCTCTATATATTCTGGATATTAGTTTTCTGTCTGAGGAGTGACTGGCAAAAATTGCTTCTCGTTCTGGATGTTGTCTCTTCACTCTAACTGATTTTTCTGCTACATGGAAGGATTTTAGTCTGATATAATCCCACTTGTTGATGCTTGGTACTATTTCTTGTGCAGCTGAGGTTCTGTTTAGAAGGTCCTTTCCTACACCTATGTCTTCAAATGTTGTTTCTGTTCTGTCCTCCAACACGTGATGTTCATATCTTGATCCATTTTGATTTGAATTAGTACATCATGAGACACAAGGCTGCGGCTTCAGCCTTCTGCAGAGAGCCAGTTTTCCCGGCAGAAAGGAGGACCAGAAGAAGAAATAAGAAGCAGGAGGGGAGGGATTTAAAAGAGAAACAAGCTGTATTATGCATGTGTGCCCGCTTTGCAAGATGGCTGTAAAATGCGCATACTGCAAACAGGTACTAATAATTAAAAAAAAAAAAAATGGTGGTTGCTGGAGTGAAGGGAGCCAGCAAAATTTGACTACGAAAGTGTGTGAGGAATTTTCTGGAGTGAGAAGAACACTCGAATGTACGTGCCTGACAGTGTGAGCCTCGCAAGTGTGTCAATGTGTCAAAATTCAGGACGCCTCACACTTAGGATTTGTGCGTTTTTCTCCATGTAATTCCATGCTAACTTCACCAAGAGACCGGCGGTCTTAAGTTGTCACTCATTTTGCTCAACTCCAAGGAATGCAGTGGGGGCATCAGCATCCGAGCACACTCAGGGACGCCGCAGCTGTGTTTGCTGCTCTATGTGGAAGACCCAAAGGGCCTCATCAGTCTTCCCGTAGAAGTCCTTGAAGTCCTGTAGATTCTTCATTGCCGTGCTTTCGGGAACAGCTGAGAAACTAAAGGGCGATTCTTTACGTAAGCTAGTTTTGATCAGTTTCAGACATAGTGAATAAATAAGATCTTTTGTAGTCTAGAATGCTAATTAAATAAATAGAATTTTTTTAAACTGTAGGTCGATGATTTTCAGCAAGGTTTTCCCCACCTAAATAGCATGACAAAGTCAGAACACAAGGGCTTCTAAAATTTAGATTGAGCTGCCAACCCAACTCTCGTAAACTCCTTTGCGGTGGCCCCTAACTCTTAGGCGCAGACCGGGCAGGCACCCTGTGGAATGGGCTGGATCCAGCTGTCCCCGTGGCCAGCTTAGTTTCTGCAGGGATGTGTGCATTTGGAGTCCTGCTGTAACTCCACCGGCTCCTCCTTCTTTGTTTGTATCTGGCTGACAGTGCGCACCTGACACACCTCCATTTTGCAATATCAAAGGGCCAGGAAGATTTTAATTAATCCTTCTCTGCCTTCACATCTAAAAGCTAAAAGACACTTTAATAAGAAGGCAGTAGCACCCAAATAAATAATAAATAAATCCAGCATTAAAATAAATAAAAAATAAAATCAGTGGGGCTCATAAGCAGATGCAACTACTCAACTCAGTGCAATAAGAAATAGAATTATATGTGCAGCATACACAGTAGATGAAGCACCTCCACAGATGCCAGACTGACTACACAGAGATGAGAAGTGTCGCAGTGACAGACCTGTGGCCATATCTTCCCAGTGCCAACAACGGTAGCGCCTGACTTCAAGAAAAGAGCAAATGATGTGCTGCACGTTACCATCAGCTCCCCGCACCCAGTGAGGAGGCCAAGCACTTCACTCCATAAGGAGCGTTCTTTCAGTGTATGTGAATGGTAATTATGTGATGGAAAGCAGGTGGGTTGCCTGACATTATGCTGGGGGACAGTAAGTATGCAACAGGGGCTGGGACAAGCTTGGGAGCAGCAGCACCAACCACAGGATACTCTTGTAACGAATGACACAGAGCAAAAACTTCCTGTGAGCCCAGCTCTGTGCTGGTTGAGCCATTGACATGACTTAAAAAAATGCAAGCACACATACGTACAAATGATCAGAAACAAGCGCTTGTAGACATTTCAGCATCCAGAAAGCAAAACAATGGAGAGAGCCCTATGAGTCTCAGGTGCTCAAAGGTGTACATGGAATGAGTAAGTGATTAAACACAAATAAATCACAAAGTAAATATGTCAGAGACCAAAATGAGAACAAGCTCTTCCACACTACAGGGGCATTCTTGGTATTGGGGTCATATTCGACTAGTTCTTTTTTCTTCCATGGGGAAATTAGGCAGAACAGAAATGGGGGCACAGTTCAGGGAAGGGTTTCTCAATCTTGAAACTACGGACTGTGAGGCTGGATAATTCTTTGATGGGAGGGACAGTGCCCTTACGGCTTGGCTTGATGGTTCATCCTGATGACCACTGATTGTCTGGGAGGCAACTATGAGCTGAGGGAAGTGTACTTCTCAGTGTGTCTAGTGAACCATGGGAGCTTGACCTTGGGACTGGATGTGGTCACTTTTGCTTCCTCCCTGCTTGCTGCTGCCTAGATGCTGAGTTCGGCAGTCTTCTCTACCACATCCTTCTGCTGCAAGGCTCCTGCCTCAGAGCCAGCTGACAGTGGGCTGAATGCTCTAAGACTGAGAGCCAAAGTCGACCTCTCCCCTAAGTCCTGTGTGTGTTTCTGGTATTGTCTCGGCAGTTGTAAGCTGAGCAGCACAGATGGCTTTTAGCAGCAAGTAGACTTTGTCTTCTATCCAAGCCATTGCTCTACCTGTCCCCATGGTGCAACAAAAATGTGTCCACTGTCCAATACTCTGTGCAGGTGAAACTTTCTTATTTCTGCAGACCACTGCATTCACCAGATTAGGGCTTCATCCATTCTGTGCTGGGCAGGTCATTTCACTCCCATCTAACCTTACTTTCTTCTACCACACTAACTTCTGACTTTGGGGAACTGAATGATTTGCTTCCATTTTATTCCTCTTTCCCTGCATCCTTAGTTGTTGACTTTTTCACGTGACTAGTTCTGGTCAAGTTGATGAGCAGCTTGTCTTGCTCTCCCCACTGATCCTCTTCCTCCTCTGCCTTCACCTGACCAAAACAAGCCCAGCAATCTTGTTGGCCTAAGAAGGAGGAAACCATCTACCAGAGACCCAGAGCCACAGACGTGCAGACACCTGGGAATATCAGCTGTCTAATACAGCTGAGAGCCAGGATAGCTTGTTGTATGCCATGACTTGCCAAAGGCTAGCAGACGTGGGGAAAATAACCATACAGAAGCATCCAGGTATCAGATGGTCAATACATGTTAGATACCTTCATTCCTCCTCCCTTTCCATGCTTCAAGTATGTACGTGCCTGATTTCTTTTTGGCTGAAAGTGAGGCCCGGGATTATCAAAAGAGCCTTTCTTTCATCATTTGGGAGATGATTAAAATAATAAAAATTACAACTGGCACATTACAAATAAAAGCCAGAAATGGATATTGCAGCTCCTACAAGGCAACTGCACTTTGGATGTGCTCAGTTTCGAAAACAAGATTTGCAGTGTGCTCGGCGATCACCAAACCGGCGGCATGTGGAAAGAAGGAGCACTTCGGCTCCTCTTGGCTGTGCCTGACCTGTTCTGTCCCACGTTTGGGTTCCTAACTGGAAACGAAGAGCAACGAAGAAGTGCAGAATTGGGTCAAGTCACCACAGTGGCCTCTGAGCAGCCGTGTCCATCCTGATGATAGCAAGAAGCAGTCCTCCCCTTCTGGCTTTCTGGAAAGCTCCATGGCTCCAGATCTTGTGATTCCTGACTTTGGATGAACACTTCTGGTTCAGTGCCAGCTCCCTAGCACTTGTACAAGGCTCAAGCCTGGCTGTGTTCCTGTGTGTCCCCACTGACAGGCCAAGATGTGTTCCAGTAGAGGAAGCTGCAGGATGCACTTGCAATCTCATTCATTTACCAGATATGGGGACTGTCCTGGTTTGGGGTTTTTGTAAGGGGAACAATATAACACAGGATGCATTTTATAAGATTATGTTATAATCACACAAAAAAATATGTACAAGTCCAGAAAATCTGTCCACATGCAAACGAGGCAAGAATCCAGCTGAGGGCCTGGATCTTAATACCCTTTCTGAGTCCAGCTAAAAATTAAGGGCCCATAACAAGCCCAATGGGAGGCCTAGAGCCCATGACAATGTCTCATGCAGTCCCGCTTCACAGATCTGCACTTGGAAGGCCCAAATGCCAGTGGCAGAATCTAGAAAGTCAGCAGGATGGAGGATCCATGCTATCAGACTGAGTGATCTGAACTGGAGTCAGGAAGCAATGCTCAAGGTAAGAATCAGAGCTCCTCCGAAAGGTACCACAGCCGTCCTCAGCAGCAGTGAGGTCCCAAGTACCTCCAACAATGAGGAAAGCTGAGTTCCCATCAGGAAAGCCAATGTGACAAGCTTTCTCCAGGAGACTGAGACTGAGTAGTACACCAGCTTCCCCTCTGAAGCCAGGAAGCGATGCTCAAGGTGAGGACCAGGGCTCTCTAAAATGAACGACAGCCATCCTCAGCTACACTGAGGGCCTGAGCGCCTCCTTTAACAAGAATGGCCAACTTCGTCTGAAAGCCAGCATGACAAGGTCCCCCAGCAGAATGGCCCAGGAGCACCAATGGCTTCCAACAGCCCCAACAGCTTCTCCAAACAGCTTCTCTCCCAGCCTTCCAGAGGACCTCCCAGCATCATGCTAGTTCAATTCATCTGGGCGTAGCAAGTGGACCACCCATTAGCAATCCACCATAGGGACCTTGGGCACAGGATAACTATGACAGGCTCTCAAGATACAATGCTGAATCACACAGGTTCGGCCTTCAGGGTCTCATGGGCTGATGGACAAGTAACCTAAGAAAATTATAGCATCTTTCATGGAACCTGTCAATTTGTATCTTAAATATGGAAAGGAACTTTGCAGATGTGATCAAATTAAGGATACTGAAATGGAGAGAGACTATCCTGGGTTATTGGGCAGGCACAATGGAATCATAAGAGTCCTCATTAAAGGGACTCAGGAAAGTCAGAGTTGGAAAGGAGATGTGACAGCAGAAACACCAGTGGGACTGCTGTGGCCACAAGTCAGTGACTGCAGGAAGCCTTGAAAAGCTGGAGAAGTCAGCAAAACAATTACCTCCAGGTAGGCTGACCCCTTGATTTCAGCCCCAGAAAGCTTACGGTGGGCTTCTCACTAGCAGAACAAAGAGTATACCTGTGCTATCAGATGCCACCAAGTAGGTGTTAATTTGTTAGAGCACCCATAAGAAACTAACCCAGTGGGAAGATCCTTTCCCACTTTCAGATTTCAGATTTTATTTACTCTTTTAAGATTTTATTTACTCTTTTAAGTTCTTATAATAGTGAAACAATACAATGTTTGCCCAGATGGGTCTGATTTATTTCACTTACAAATATGATCTCTAACTGCATCCATTTACCTATGAACGTCTCGGGGCTATCTCTTCTATAGCCGAGTAGTACTCCATTGTGTAAATATCCATCTTTTTTATCCATACCTCAGTTGATGGGAATTTGGGTTTCCAGGATTTAGCTATGACAAATTGAGCTGCTATAAATATGGGTGCATGTAAATCACTGTGGTATGTTTTCAGTTCATTTAGAAAAATACTTTATGGTTTGTATCTAGGTGTCTCCTAACAGCCTCATGCAGTCGCTGGGGCAGGCTTCTGGAGTTTGAGATTGATTCATGATCCAATGCTGAGATTATGAATGTGAGTGCTGCTCCTGCCCTGCGGTGGGTAATCTGCATTACAATGTAAAGAGGGGAAAGAGGCTTGCTAGCAGCCTCAGGGGC